GGTTAAAGTAATTGCTTATATGTTTATTCATTTACTGTTAATTAATTTATGGCTGCCGAGTGCAAGGCTGTAACAGCTGCAAACTTGGACTCTGAAAGAGAGACACTTGTAGGACTTTTCGACCAGGCCACAGTAAGTTTTGAAAAATCAGCTACAACTCTAATACATTTGACGTAATAGAAATAAAGCAGTACAAATGCTACGCTCACGCATCGGGGCATGACAAAGCTCCATCACTACAGCACGTGCCTCATTCAGTAAGCTTCTCAAAATAGCATCAGATTGGATTTTATTACCTGATCCAGCTACAGCGACCTCCAGGGTAGAAGAGGTTTAAGGGCAGGGACAGTTGTGACAGCCAATTTTGATTGCCTTGTTAACGAATTGATGTTTTATGGTTAGTTATTTAGAAGGAAATACAATATCTGCTTCCATTGCTCCATTCATCGCTTTGCTACAATCAATGTGATGTTTTCAAATAAGGCATTAACATTGAAAAGCATCTGTGAGGTTTGCCGCAGCTAGTACAGGAAGAGTATAAAACAACAGAGCCAGCCTCGCAAAGCATCAATGGAGTGTTTACATACAGTACATTAGGTGAACAACCAAGGTTGATACTGATTGATTTGTATCAAGACTTTTTTAAGTCAATAAATATTTCAGATAATTTAATGTAATTTAATATTAAGTTTGTTAGTAAGTATAAAGACTTTTTGGGTGATTTAAGTGATTCTAAACAGAGGTTAAAGTGACTTTCATGCTGTTTCCAAATTACAAGAATAATTTTATTAATTATTTTTGATTGCAAGATTAAAAGTCATCTTGTCACATAAAGCCTTATTATCATGCAACATAATTTTTTTTTAAGTAAAAGGAAGACACATTGTCAACCTTGGACTCATCACAAACCTCATTAAAGAGGTTTATTACTTATTATGCTTGGATGCCCAAGAGCCACTACAGAGAAAGCAACCATTCTTCTTGAGATTCATACAAGTAATTATGGTTTCACTATATTAAATATCACATACACATCACAAAGCAAAGAAACCAACAATGTAATCAAATTATTGAAACGAAGGAGAAGAAAAGAACCAAACAAGAGTGAAACTTAAAGCAGTCACATCCTAATGATGGCAAGCCAGAGAAAAGATCAGGAAGTAAAGCTGAAGCAGGACACATGAGAAAGTTATCCTTCAAAGTAAAACAGGAAGTGACCAAAGTCAAAAAAGCTAACAGTTAGACATGAAGACTAACACTGAATATGATGACAGAGAGAAGAAAACACAGAAGCTGTCAGAAGTTTTATTCATTTGAAAAAGTGATTTAAAATGAAATTTTGATATTTTATTATTTTTTTTATTTAAAATAATGCAAATCTTTTTTTTTTTTTTTTTACAATTTTTTTGTTTTGGCTTCAAATTAATTTTTTTTTATTATTATTTTTTATATCTAATTTGCCATTTCACTATATTGACAGGTGAACATTGGTAATATACTGATATACATTAAGGTTAAAGCTCTATTAAGGTGCAACGGCATTTTAAGGTAGGGGATCCTATTTCAATAGAATATACAGTAATGACTGGGCGATTCTTAGATTTCTTTACAGAGTTCAGAGATCTTGCTGCTTTGTGAACTACCATCCAATCAGATAACACTATTGGTAATTTTCCCCCCACCTTAGTGTATATCAATATGTTACAAACTTATTTGTTCTATAGTCCATCATGGGGTAATCAGAAACCATCTTTCTTAACTGTTGGTGCTAGCTCCTTCACGGGATCGGTGGCCATCTTCAAACAAAATGCTGATTTTTAACTTGTAACGAACGTGACACAGGTGCTGTCAATAATTAGTCTACACCCCTCCCCCTTGATGTACACCCACAACACAAAATTAGGGTCAAAAGACTGAAACTGAAAAAAAGGACCTGAAAATGTAACAAAGAGTTTGAAGCCCCCCTAAGATCTAAGTCCTGCAGCTAATAGATGCCCTCCAGGGCCTATATAAGTGTCATGTGTTTTGAAAGTGAGCTGTTAGCCTTTTGCTTTGTTTTGTTAAGGTTCATGTTCCCGATTACCTTGCTTTTACTCATCACACTTGATCAATTTGCCCTTTGTTCCTCTGTCTTCTGTTACATTGACCAAAGGACGCTTGTAGGAGAGCTGCCAATTATTTTTCTCCTGTATTTTACTTGTTTCTTAGGGATTTGAGGTATATGTTTGTAGCTTTTCTTTTGCCTCAGTTAATCATTTGATGGTGTTGTATTTCAAGTTGGGTCTGTTTATGTATGTGTGTGTTGGCCTTGGCTCTCCTTGAAGCTAACTTGTACTTCATTGATAACATCCTGGCAATAAATCTTTTCAGACTGACCCAAACAACCTCCTCATCTTTCTCCATCTAATACTATGCTACTCCCCTTATCCCTAGATCAATTTGTGGATGCAACACTCAGATTGACTTATTAATTAAATAAGAGCAATCAAATCAACAAATCAAACTGACAAATGAGGGCCTCTTTGACTCAGAGTTGATTTCCAATTAATGGACAACGGGGTTATTCGTTAATTGGGAGATTGGATGTTCGATCCCCAGCTCCTCCAGTTTGCACTGCAGTGCCCTGGGAACGATACTGAACCCCGGGCTGCCCTCATTTGCATTGTGTAAATGTTAGATTTTTTTAAAGTGCTAGGGTGAATGAGGCACATAGTGGAAAGTGCTCTGAGTGTTCAAATACAGCAGAAGCTCTATATACAGTGGTGTGAAAAACTGTTTTCCCTGTTCCTTTATTACAGGTATGTTCTCATTGCCCAAGCAGTATAAAGAACTTGTTATTTTTTTCATTCACGGCAGCACTTGAGCAAACTTACGATAACTAAATGTTAAGTGGTAAGAGCCAAGAGGTTTTACTGCTGTCTGCAGAGAGAGGAGAGATGAGACACTTCACAGGGAGTCACTGAGGCGATGACTCCTTGTTCTCATCAGCTGTCTGGGAAGTCACCAAGAATTCTGTTTAGCACCCTTTAACACCGGAGGAGTGAAAGCACGAGAAGAGCCGAAAATATCCCTGCAGCAAATAGAAGCTGTGAAAGCTTGATTTTCTCAGGCTTTTGGTGTGAGTCATTCCAGTGAGGATTGTCCGAGTAACATTAAAAATGTGAATCTAGAGCCTCAAATGCTTAATTTTACTGTAAGTATTTTTTTTTTTTTATTAAATGACACTGATCTTTTATTCAGAGGTTTAGAAAAGCCATAGATCGACCTAATATGGGACAGCATCCTCATGGAAAGTGGAATGCCTGTTCTAATTTTAATCAATGTGAGGCCACAAAGGGGGGGACACACTCTGGTCCCAGTTTGAGTTCTTAGATGGTCTGTCTGGTCTTTGACTCCACCTGCTGGTTATCCATGGTGCCTGCTCTGCTACATTTAGGGACCCTTGAAAGCATTTGCCTTAAGCGCATTAGCTGGAAAGCAATGGTGAATCAGATATGGTAACATGAGTGAAAAGAGGGGTTTTAGTTCAAATGATATGCTGCTTCACCACTATGTGATAAAGCTGCAGATATCAAGGACACTAGACTAGTATTTAACTCAAATATAGTATACTGGATGTGTTTAATGACTCAGCAGGATACTGTCTTTATAATAAATTGAGTTACCTTATACAGTTCCTCAAACTTTACACACAGTGCACTAAAATCTAGGAATGCACCACATGTTCTTATTTTTTATTGGTTTATTCTGGCTTTAGCAACAGGGAAACAGCAAAAACACTATGAAAAAAATGAGAAAAATGTTTTAAAGGTCACATTATCTATGAACATTATGCCTGTTAACAATCAGAGTGACAGACCAGATAAACACAGTTTTCAGTAAATGCCATATGAGTAGAAGTTAGTAACTGACAACAGTGAAAAGATAATGTGTCAGTCCAGACTTACCTGGAAATAAGTTCACTCAAAAGTGCATCACTACTTCTGGCCTAGAGATATGAAAATTCAATCATCTATATATCTTCCATAGCTCACCCTTCTAATCTGATCAAAGTCAAAGGTTGAGAGTATAACTGTTTTTTACTGTACTGTGTGTTTAGAGCCACCCCTAATTTCTGTATATTTTACTAGGAAAATGGCAAATACTGTAGGTGCAGTGATTTATTGAAGTATGTGCAAACATACATGGAAGAATAAACAGTACATACAGCACAAACAGAGTTTGTACAATTTTAACAACCGTGAAAGTGAAATTACGACCACTTTTTTCTTTCTTTCTTTTTTCTCAACACAGCCTGAGCTCTTTTAAGAAACTTTCATCTAATTTCTTCAGTAGTCTTCAGGAATAGTTCTCCATGCTTCTTGAAGGAAATTCAAAGCTCTTTTTTGGATGCTGGCTGCTTTTTGTTCCATTCTCTGTCAAGATGATCCCACAGTGCTCTGAGGAGGCCAGTTCACGACTGATATAGTGTTGTGCTGTGTGTTTTTCTATCAAGGCATGCTTCTACTGCACTGGCAGTGTTTTGGGGACCACTGTCAGGCTGAAAAATGAAGCTGTGGCCAATCAGATGTTTTTCAGATGTTGCATGGTGGATCAAACCCTGACAGTAATTTTCTGTGTACATAATTGACAATATCTCCAACACCACTCGCTGAAATGCAGCCCAAGCCATGACGCAGCCCCCACTGTGTTTAAGAGATGGCTGTAGATGTTTACTGTTACACATCTTTCCTGATCTACTCTGTACATATTGACAACAAGTTGAACAAAATAAAATCTGACTTACTTAATTTATATTAGATAACTAGGGACAGAATTGATTATTCAGAGGAAAATAACAATACTAAAACTAAAAATCTATTTAAGGTGATCCCATTTGTGCTTCATTTATACATCCACTGAACCATCTCAAACTCTTAAAGTAGGCCTTTTTACTTTCATTTTTCAACATCAAAAGAAATGGGTTGCGTAATTTCCGACGAGTCCTGAAGGTAACACAGCTATAACTCTCGGCGGTCAGCTGACGATGAGTTGTCATGTGACGTTTATAGAGCGTGGCTGGGCAGAGTAGATCAAGCGGAGCGGGTAAACAACAGCGGTGTATTTCACCAAAACACAGCTCGGTGGTGTCCGTTTCCTGCTCGTCCCGGTCCATCCATCGTCCATCATGGCTTGGACAAAATACCAGCTGTTCCTCGCGGGACTTATGCTTACAACCGGCTCCATCAACACGCTGTCGGCCAAGTGAGTAGATTTAATTATGTTTTTCCCTACCGTGTCGTGTGTCTACAGTTACTGTAGCTGGAGCTTGGACCCAGGAACCGACCTGAACTACAGATTTAACATAAAATTTGAAGGGTGGTGGTGCCCAGTTAATTGTTTAGAGAAGTTAATAAATGTAGTTCGTTTATTGCATTTTCTTACAGATTGTTAACGTAGAGCTACCCCGTTAGCTAGTAACAATAGCGTCTCGTTTCCTTGTTAGCTTGTAAGCGGCTAACATTAACATATTTATCAAGCTGTGAGTTTGAATTATAACTAGACTTTCCTGTTTTCATGTGAAACTAAACTGTGGGGGACGGTGAGATCACTTATTTCCTTTCCAAGTAAAGGTCGGGCTTCTGTCTGCTTCAAAAAGGGGAATAAAAAGCAGTTCAACTCATTTAATTCATCGAGACATAAAAATAACGTCGTCACATAAAAATAACTTTGGTCTATTATGTCTTTGATTTACACGTGTTTCTTGCATTTGGTTCATGTTGTTTCAGCAGAAACTGCATGATACATATGATACACAGAAAACCTGCTGAGCAGCTGCACTCTGGTGTTTATTTAATTGTATTTTTCCTTGGGTGGTATGTAGTCTCTTTTGTATGTCTGTGAAGGTTCTCAGTCATCCAGGTCATCGTAGTCTAAGGAGCTTGGAAAGAAAACCGTCTGGACTTCTTTAAGTTGCTTGAAGCAACTTCAAGAACTTCAACTTCAAGAACCTCAACCTCAAGCAACTTAAAGAAGTCCAGACACTTTTCTTTCCAAGCTCCTTAGAGTAGTCTCTTTTGGTTCCTGCTGATGAAGTAAATAATTCATGATTCATTTGAAATACAGAGTATTAACATTACATTTGTTTTAAATAATACTAGATAAGATATCAGTACATTAACATTACAGTCAACTCTTGTAGAAAAACTTTTAGATGTGAGGTATCAGTATTTCACTTGCTTATCATCAGACAGACGGTGTTTATCACATGACAAAACCCGAAAGCATTTGAAAACAATGCAAATGCTTTATCTGCCACTGTAACCAAGGAGCACTGCAGCTGTGGCTTTATCACTAAATGTAGTTAAAACTAGACTATCATATATTTATATTTGCAACCTGTTATTGTTTTTGATCCTAGCTGGTTTTTAAAATATCAGAAAACAATAAAAAATGCTTCTTAAATATTATAAAACTGCAAGATCTTTTAGTCTGTAGCCACATCAGCAAATGCCCAGCAACCCCCACCAAAAATAAATGTTTTTTAATATGTTATATGTTCATCCAGATGAAGCCCACAATCTGAAATCCACTGGTTTAGCGGGAAAGTTGTATATGTAAGTGTGGCTAGAGTTTTGACCTCCATACTGTGGAAGTGGTATAGAATGGAAAATTGTCCAGAAACCATAATTCTGCGTATTTTAGCTAAACCTTTAGCAGCTGCTGTCTGCACTCTTGTTGTTGGTCTGATTTCCATCATTCAGCAGTCCATACGCTTTTCTATATTTAAAAAGAAAAACTGAATGCTGGATGATGGAAATCAATTTTCCTAATTTGATAATCAAAGTTGGGTTAATAAAGGTTTTATGTGACTTGAGAAGCCTTGTAAAAAAATATCTACTACTGCTACTGAAAAGCAGCTCTCGACAGGATGCAAAGATTTATCTAAGAAATGCAACTGCATGACATTATTTGCTTATGACTGTTTAGAGATCACTCTTCATTTTTAGATAACGTGTCCTCCTTGTCTGCTTAAACATTAAAACGTATACAGGAGATAAAAGTAATATGTCCACAGATTCAATTCAGCTTGTTTCAGTTTTATTCATATAGCTCTAATCCACAACAACTCGAGATGTTGTCGTGATATTGTAAGGTACAGTTGATAAAATATTATAAAGAAACCCCAAAAATCAGACAACCCCCTATGAGCAAGCACTTGGAAAATATGGGAAGTAAAAACTCCCTTTTAATAGGGAGAAAACTCGTAGTTCTTGGCTTGGGAGGGGAGCCATCTACTTCGACCAGTTGAGTGAGAGGGGAATGATGTAAAGAAAGCACAAGTGGGCCTGAAATCAAACCCTGTGGGACTCCACGTGCCACTGAGGACAAAGAGAACATTTGCTGAAACAGAAAACCTCGACTCTTTCAAATAAATCAACTTAATGTTGCAGTCTGTTTATCAGGACTGCCACAACCTGCTGAGTCACCCACTGGCTGCTAAATAATTAAATCACCAGATATATTTTTTGTCCAGTAAAGACAATTAACCAATTTATAGATGTCTTTAAATTGACCTTTTTGCTCAAAATCCAATCATAATTAACCATGTTTATCCCGAAACACTGAATAATTGCTGTAAAATTCTGTTTTATTTTAACAAATTAAAAAATAAATATTCATTTTTTATAATTTTTGCTGCATCCGGCATTTTTGTGTATTTTATTAATGGTGCTCGCAGTAGTATACTATTTGTGTATGTCAATTTATTAGGGGAAAAAAATCACACTGAAGATGTTGGAAGTCATCATCAAAAACAGGTGTATCAAATATAACATACTTGGCGTCACCGAGTGAAATAAAAACGTGCACGTTTCAGAATCTGATTGTTGGTAATTTAACTTAGGTGACTAGATTATCATAATGAGTGCTGACTGCATTTAGGATCTCTTTTGCTGTCATGATAGGAAGAGGTTTGTCATCTCAGTGAAACAAAAGATTCAGCTTTTTCAACTTCTCCAATATTCTGGGACATCAGCTTTCTGCTTCCTGACACGCACTTCTTTGTCCTTTTGCGGGTTTTGTCAGCTGAACACATCTCAGTTCTGCTGCTAATTGCAGTTTGTGTCAAACAAAACGGGTCATGTAGTGTTACTTAAGAGACAACTCGACAACTACCTGGTCAAATTTCACAACATTCACCTGAAACCAGCAGCATCTCTGTGCTGCCTCGCTGCCTTAAAAGCCCCACAACTCGGATCAGTTACAGCTCGCAGGATGATAGTTTTCGTGCAACTTCCATCTACCCACCATGTACAGATATTTAATCCAAAGCACACCAACCTTAAATAACAGGACAAGCAAGAGCAGATTTAGATGAGCAGACAGATCCACTCAAGTTTCCTTTGCGTATTGATGAGCTCAGAGTTTTCAAGAAAGTGCTGTGTCGTCACTTTTAAAGACCACAGTCCCGCTTCGCGCTGTCACCGGGACGCTCACATGCCAGTCATGCTGTCAGACAGTAAAATAATAAAGGTTTATGCAGACTTAAGCACTCATTAACTTCACGAGTGAAAAGACACGTCATTCAATCATTCTGTCGCCGTTCTTAATGTCAGCAGGCAGTGAAACAAGTGACCTGTAGGTGAAGTGGAATTATTTCATCACCACATGTTCAAACCAAAACCTGGCATAATGTGAAGGAATACTAAACAAGAAAATGTATTTTTAATTCTCTTAAAAAAAGACCTCTGTTTCTTATGTGTTATTTCTGACTATATATTTTATTGTTTTAAAAATCTATAATTAAGCTGTAATAATCATGTTTGAGTTTTTTTTTTTTGTTGTTTTTTTTTCTGTGGCAGATGGGCTGATATGTTCAATGCGAAGGGTTGCCAGGAGGAGCCAGAGCGTCCATTCTCTCACCCATTTCTACAGGTATGGTAATAAACTCTTAGTGACAGCTGAGCTCAGCACTTTGATCTCAGTTAAAGTTTTTTCATAATGTCTTGGTTCTTATTTTAAATTAAAGAAAATCTTTCCAATTGGTATTTATTATTATTATTATTATTATTATTATTATTATTATTATTATTATAATGATGATAATAATAATGGATTGGATTTATATAGTGCTTTTCTAGGCACCCAAAGCGCTTTACAATTCCACTATTCATTCACTCTCACATTCACACACTGGTGGAGGCAGCTACAGTTGTAGCCACAGCTGCCCTGGGGCAGACTGACAGAGGCGAGGCTGCCATATCGCGTCATCGGCCCCTCTGGCCAACACCAGTAGACGGTAGGGTAAAGTGTCTTGCCCAGGGACACAACGACCAGGACAGAGAGAGCGGGGGGATCAAACCGGCAACCTTCCGATTACAGATGAGCTTCCCAATCCCCTGAGCCACGGTCGCCCCCATATTAACATATTTATTTCATATATGCAGAGAAATTAAACATTTTAAATTGTTTTTTGTCTGTCAAGTGAAAAAGCTTCACCTACATGTCACAGCTGTATCTTTAAACTCAAAACCTCTTTGTGATTATGTAAGTCTCTAACAGTTTGCATGGAAGATGCCGACTTGTCTGCACACATTTGCAAACTGCGGTAGCGACACTATGAAAAGCATGATGCAAACTAAAAATGGACACTGCATCCTGAAATGCATCGGTTGCAGTGATAACGTCTAAGTTTCTGGTTTGCATAGTAATTTTTCTGGTGTTAGTACAGCTCAGGCGAGTGTTTGCAGATGAGTTGTCTTCCATTCAAATGAGGATTTACATTTTTATTCTCGTTTCGGTTCTGCTAAAACCCCAAAAGAAGGTGCCAGAAATGATCTCCATACAGAAAAAACCCAGGTGTATGTTTTGGGAGGTCAAGCAAGTGAAAACTGCTGCAAACCTTTTAAGATTCATCAGAAAACTTTTGAAAACAGAAAGATACATCTGGATTAATACAGTAACTCGTGAGTGTCTTTAGTTTTCTTTGCAGAATAACTGGAATAATTCATTCTGTCTGTCTCTCTCACTGTCCAGGCGGTGGGGATGTTTCTGGGCGAGTTCTGCTGTCTCGCAGCTTTCTACATCTTAATTTGCCACGACAAACGTCGACCAGAACCCAGGGTAAATCGTGGCCAGAGCTTCAACCCCTTCCTCTTCTTCCCTCCTGCCATGTGCGACATGACTGCCACCTCCATCATGTATGTTGGTAAGTGTCCACAGAATCTTTTTACAGGTCACCAGACCCTTCTCTTCCGTCTTGTTAAAACCGTTTTTGTTTCACAGCTCTCAACATGACGAGCGCCTCAAGTTTCCAGATGCTCCGTGGAGCTGTCATCATCTTCACCGGTCTACTTTCTGTGGCATTTTTGGGGCGTCGCCTGGCACCTAATCAGTGGATCGGCATTTTTATCACCATTCTGGGGCTGGTGATAGTGGGCCTGGCTGACTTCATCAGTGGAAACAAAGACAGCTCACACAAACTCAGTGATGTGATCACTGGTAAGATGTTTTGTTTTCTTTGGGGTCTTTTTTTTTTTTTTAATTTAAACTCTTGATAAGGATCTGATTTGTTTATTTGTTTGTTTGATATGATTGGATCGCAAAGTGTTTCAGTAAAAAAAACCCTCTCAGGTTTGCTTTGTTTTTGTTTTTTGTCTGACTGCAGGAGATCTTCTGATCATCATGGCTCAGATCATTGTGTCAGTGCAGATGGTCCTCGAGGAAAAGTTTGTCTACACACATGACGTTCATCCCCTCCGAGCTGTTGGAACTGAAGGTACGACAGTTATAAGGAGCTTTGTCCAGCTTACAACATCAGATCTCTGCTGGAGATGAACTTTTTTTAGAGTGGATGTGTATCCCCTCAAACCACAAACCTACAAAAACAATTACATTCCTGAATTCTCAGTATTTACTGAATGTCAATAATGAGATGGGCAAAGGTCTTATTACCTCATACAAACATCTAGAATAGACCTATGTTGTCAGATGAAGGCAGTGTCAAAAGTAGGTCTGTGGTGTGCTGTTGCTGGTTTGTCAGCCGTGGAGAAGGGCGATGTTATAACATACAAAGAGCTGAAGTGAAACTGAGTTCTAAAAACAATCAAGTGTCTGTGCTGTTCATGCTGGGTTTTTTTTCTGTTGTTTTGCGGTTCTTCCGTTCCCGGTGAACTCTGCATTCAGCAGATCCATACGTCATCTGCACAGTTGGGATTTTGGAGGACTGCACAGGAGTACCTGTGTCGTGGGTTTAAAAAAAAAAAAAAAAGTCTTCGCTCACTGTCCTGACAGAGACGTGCACACAGACCTAACCTTTGTGGGACCGTAACTTATGTTTCAGAAACTCAGCTACACAACAGGCAGTGTGGCCTAACCTAGCATTTATACTGCTGTGTAATGTATCATTTGTTACAATTTAGCACAAGTGCTGCATCAGATTTGAGACCACAAAGTTGTTTTAATATTTTTAAGCTTTCACCTGTTAAAAATTACAAGGAAAGGTTCTTTTTGCAATCTTGTTTCACATGTAACAGTGCATTATGTATTTTTTTAACAGACCCTTTTTAAGAGTGTAGAGGGCACAAACTTCATACATGGTTACACAGCAGCATTAATCAATATTTTTACATAAATAGTGGATAACAATATATTTCTTCTACTGTGAATTGTTTCAGGCACAGTATGAAAAGCAGTTTATCACCAGATCCTGCTTTTCTCAGATTGGCGCACGTTAGCGTGTTTAAACTCATTGTTTTGGCTTTACACTTTACCTTTTGTTTCTGGTTTAGCCTAATGACTCTCGTGAGCTTTAATTTTGTTGTCTCTGGTTTTCTTTTGTGAGTAACTGGGTGGGGTGATTTTAAGGTGAGGTGAGGTAACTCAAACACACACGACTGGCTAAAGTAATTTCTTTTTCAAAATATTTGTTTTCAGGTTTCTTTGGCTTCTTTGTCCTGTCGCTGCTGCTCATCCCCATGTACTTCATCCCTGTTGGAAACTTCGCCAACAACCCTCGGCACGTCCTGGAGGACGCGCTGGATGCCTTCTGTCAGATCGGCCACCAGCCTCTCATCTTGCTGGCTCTGCTCGGCAACACGGTCAGCATCGCCTTTTTCAACTTTGCGGGGATCAGCGTAACTAAAGAGATCAGCGCCACCACCCGTATGGTGCTGGACAGCCTGCGTACGCTGGTCATCTGGGTGGTGAGCTTGGCATTGGGCTGGGAGCACTTTCACGGACTGCAGGTTTTGGGCTTCTTGGTGCTGCTGGTGGGTACCGCGCTCTACAACGGACTGCACCGCCCCCTGCTGGCCAGAATACCGTGCTGCGCTAGGTTCGCGAACGAAGAGGAGGGCGGCTCTGGAGAAAGAGAGAGACTGCTGAATGACGGCCAGGTGCAGACTGGTGACAACAGCTAAAACTTGGGGACACACTCGGCACAGACAGAGTCCCGGTTTAGTGGACGGTCTGCCAGAGACACTGGTGTCAGTTTGCTTTAAAAAAAATCAGGTGTTCACATCTCAGATTTAAACTGGTACACAATGCTGTAACAGGTGAGAGTGTGAAAAGCATATTAAAAATAAAAATGTTGACATTTTGTAGAAAAATATGCTTGTTTCTTTTCAAGATTAAGCTGAGATGATTAATACTTCTAGAACAGGAGGAAACGCTGGTTCTGTCCAATCCCAACTTCCAAGCTGAGAAACTGTCTTGTATATAACTTCCATAGTTACACAACATCATGACATCTGCTTCTGTCTTATTAATCTCCTCATCTAACATTCTGTAAGACACTGAACATGTTTATTTTACAAAGTGTGCAATTTTTCAATCAACGCGGCCAGTGTTTAGAAAGAGTGGCCTGAGATAGATTTTATATTACAGATTTTAAGGGATTATTTTACTTTTTTTATAACTGTTATATAAAAACAATTAAAAGCCAGTGTCAGCATTTTTTCCCGACCCTTTTAAATATGTTTGTCTTTGAAAATGGAACTTTCAGTGCCAAAACGCTAAGCCACATTTTCATCCAAAATATATTGTCAGCATCACTTTGACTTTTTTGAAGAATGACGGACCACGCTCATGTGTCTCATTTCTTTTTTTTTGCCACTCATAGTGTTTTATAATTTTGCTGACTGCGCAGTTTGATTGCGACAAAATGATTCACACCCTTGTGACGACACTACAGAGGCATTAGTTTAACATATCCTTCGTAATCAAACTGCATGCCCGTTCTCCTCACCTCACTTTAGTTCTTTTCTGAATTTTGAATTTAAAAGAAGTGTCTTTATGTTCCTCTCTTAGTTTTATTTGTACTGATGGAGACGTCAAGACTGTACAATCGATTTGTATTCTGTATTGTAAATCCACTTCTCTGTTTAGTTATCCAAGGTGCTGACTGTAATGTTCAGTAAAAGAAAAAGGGAACTATTATCAATTCACACTTTTATTCACAGGCAGCCGCCTTTCTGATGTGAAGGTTCGCTACTTTTCTTTTAATCAGTTGAAGTCAGACTGTGGGCTTGAGGCACAGACTCTTATGTCCAACATGGATGTTAATAAAATCACCGTGTGAAGCCTCAAACTGAGTGTTTTGGGTGTCGCTATGTCGATGTTGTGAAAGTGGATGTGATGAGCGGGAAGTGAATCCAACTGAGGGGGGAAAAAGAGGCTAATAATAAATAAACTTTTTTTTTTTTATTACTGTGGGATTCAGGATTTTAGAGAGAAACTGAAAGTTGCCTGAAGTTATCAAGGTTATTGGACCAGGTTTTTTTTTGTTTTTTTTTTAAAGAACATGGGTGAAACAGGCCGTTTTGATGGGTAAAGGGACAGTAGCGGTGTTGAGGGAAGAGTTACTTGCCTCTCTTGGCTACAGACAGTGCAGGAAGGTAGGAGAAGGGCATCCATTGAGCAGGTGGCTAGGTCATTGCAAACTGAACATCACCATATATTGAATAAAGCTTTAAACTAGGGACTGAGCCCATAAACTTACCAGGAATCTTTTTCCTGAAGTCATAGATTCGACAGATGACTATAAACTGGACTTGTTTCTAGAATCAGAGGAGTTGCCCAAATTTAAGCCTATTCCTTCTGAGTTTTTCAGACCCAGAAGCTAATTCCAGATTTTTTTCCCGTTTCAATCATAAATTTGCTATTAGAGAAAACGGCACTAATGATCATGTACAATAAACAATAAAACACCAGTTTTTTACTGACCCATAACAAGCAGCTGATTAACTCCTGTTTAAGATAATCTAGTGAAAGAGTATAGGGAATACTGTTCAAAATCTAACCCTCAAGTTTAGAAAAATGCATCATTAAAAAGCTTTAATCACACCAACACCAGCAGCTGACACCTGCTTTCACTTCCTGAGTCAAGTCAACAGCCCTTCTACGAGAGGTCAGAGGTTAAACTGAAAATCCCCCCAGAGATCTTTGTATGTGTAGCGGAACAGGAAGAAGGAAAATGTGTTAACAGACCACATGCACATTGACACGTGGTAATTATCCATGTGAACACACGAAGAACATGATAATGTTATTGTGGGTTTTGTTTAATAGACGGCAGGTGTTCATTTTTGAAAAATATAAAATGATTGATTACTTTGATTTATTTAAGTAAATTTTATTTTTCTGTTTTTTATTTGTTGTAACCAAAATAACATAAGAATTTAGAGAAACTTTAAAACAAAAACAACTTTATACATGCTCGCTTTTTTTTTAAAGGAGTATCTAGCTTCAATCATGCGATTAACCAAAGTTTCCTGAAAAGTTTTCATGACATAAAAAGTAGTCCAGTGGACAACAGTGCCCTCCACAGTCAGCAGCTCTGAATCCAGAACTGAGCTGACAAATCAGGAGAACGGAGGTGATCACGATCGTTCCAACGAGGAGCAGAATCTAACACCATGTGGAGCGAAACCAAGAAACTGGGCTCATTAAAGAGCAAAGAGAGGCTCTATTCATTGTTAAATGAAGGTGCATTCATGTAACAAAACAGGTAGAAATAGATCTTTGACTTTGAGAATTTTTAAAATTATATTCTATTATATTCATTCTAGTCCAAAAGCTCAAGAGCACAATTTTAAGTATAAAACCCCATCATTTGAATGTAGAAGCAATAATATACACTCAATGGCTACTTTGTTAGGTGCACCTGTTTAATTGTTTGTTAATGCAAATATCTTATCAGCCAATCACATCAGAGCAACTCATGCAAGCAAGCAGACAAAGTAAGGCAACCTGCTGAAGTTTAAACCAAACAGTAGAACTGGGAAGAAAATAAAGAAGATAAAGAGTATTTCAGAAAATGCTCATCAACGGCAACTTTCCTGTGTAACTAAAGCTAGATTTACAGAGAAAAGGTCAGAAAAAGAGAAAATATCCAGCTAGTTTCGCATGTCAATCCAATAGAGCACCTTTGACATGTGGTTGAACAGGAGAGTCACATCAAGTTCAGATTTCTTTAAGTTGTATTCTTCCTCTGAAGCAGTGTTCATCATACTCAAATGGATTTTATCGATCATGAAAGGCTTGTTTAAGTAAATCACTTTGAATTGTTGTTTTTGTATAAATAGGGCTTTATGGTTGCCTGATGGGATAATGGGAAACATGGCATCAGTACTAAGTTCATAAAGTGGCTTTCATGCTCTCCAGTGAAGACTAAACTGGAGGTTTTTAAGGAGGCGGTGTCAGGCAGGCTACTCTTTTACACTTTGTGGAAACTGGATTGGCTAAATCCACAATCAGGCAGGCCAAATATGACTACAGTACAGACCACATCACTAGATAATCAAACCATCAAATTCTGTTTATTCATAGAAAATTAACTTCATCTCAGATACAAAATATGCTAAAAAATGAACACAAGCCTCTAGTCAGCAAAGGTCCTGTCCAAAGAATGCTGCTTTTTAGTGGTCTCAGACGGCAAGTACAGTATCAAGGCCAAACACTCATGGCAGGCTGAGACATACCAGCATTTCACAGTAGACGATGGAAAAAAGACCCATTTACAGATGATGTGAAGTCTGAGATTTGTGGCTGTAACAGAGGGGTGTATGTAAGGAGACTAACAGCAGAGAGAATGATACCCACGGTGTATCAAACCCACAGTGAAATATGGTGGTGGGAACAATCAAGTGTGGGGATGTTCGCTCTGCTGGAGTTGGAAACAGGCACTAAAATGTGAATGGACTCCACCCTGACCAAAGAGAAGTGGCTCCCAGTATTACAGATGTGATCCACGCTCTGGTTTACTATTTGTGAGAAATATTAAATTTAAGACTTTTGGAATACTTTTCACTTTGGCTTAAATTATTTTCCTAAAACTCTAACAAAGACCTGCTTTCTGTCCTTAAAAAATGGGGGCATGCAGCATGAGGAATACAGGCACACACACATGCGAACACACTCACTGCAGACCGGCAGTCTGTCTCAGCAAAGAAGAAACTGGCCGCTAGATGGCAGCATTTTGCTGAAAATAGAAGGCCGCTATTCAACGTGTGTGGCTGCTTTCTGTCATTGCCTCCGACCCTGTCATTGCCTGCGTTATACTGTCTGCAGTACTGCGATACTCACATTCTAAAATAAATAACTGTAGTGTAATAGATATAGCTCCAACTATAAGAATTACAGCGACGGGTAACATCACTAACCCTGAAAAATAAGCAGCCTACAATGAAACCTGTTAAATGTGTCGAGAAATCATTTAAAGGGAATCGATTAAGTTTAATTTATGTGAGGTTTTATTTCCTTATAGGGGGGTTAAACTAAAAGTCTGGACATGTTTTTATTTTCAGTAAGAGTAAATGAATTAGTTCGGAGCATTTTCTTTATTTTCTTTACAATACGTGAAACCAAATTTATATGAGAGAAACATGTTTACAGCTCGAACAGCTGGATAAAGACGTAGAAAAATACACTCCTGGGACAGCGTGGAAAATGATTTCCAGTAGCTGCTATTGTGGACTGACTTTTCCCAGTGTGATCTGTGTGTCCTCCCCAGAGACAAACCGAGCTACAAGTATAACAAAAATAACAGATAGATAGATAGATAGATAGATAGATAGATAGATAGATAGATAGATAGATAGATAGATAGATAGATAGATAGATAGATAGATAGATAGATAG